AAGATTGAGTTTTGTATTGATTTCAGTACAAAAGAGGTTTCTTTATATATTCATTAAAATTGTTTAACTTTAATGCTTTTCTGAAAGTTAATTTCTTGCTTTCAAATGGCATCCATGTGAGCTCGATTCATATATGGAAGAAGAGACGGACACAAGTTTTTTTTCCTTAATTCCTTTCGAACTATAATACAATGATTCCTTCACTAGCTAATTCGCCTAATTATAATTGTTATTTTTTTATGATCAAAAGTTTTGTCACGCTAATTGATCATAGCAAACTTTTTATAAACTATATATAATGATTTACGTACTTTCCATTTTTCATGATGGCTTTAAAAGTGAAAATCATCTATAGAAATTACTTGAATTATTGAAGTTCAACAACAAATTGTTGATATATTTGACCAAAACAGTTAGTTTGGGATTGAAATATCGTGAATTTTTACAGTGACAAAGAAATTTGTATATATGTGTATTGTACGGTGATAAAGGAATTTGTTACAGATGTATATAGTTCAATCACATAGTTATATCTTATATGTGTTCATACGTACGTTGCAACATATATAAATGTGAAACGTATTTCTCTTGTTAGTTCATCACTGATCTTAAATCATTTTCATATATGTTTTTAAATTTTAATAATATTTATAAAAATCATGTGTAGACAAACCCATGATCAAAAACATCGATGACAAGTCTGTCTACTGTTATATTGGGGACTGCCTCGAATGCCTAATAGTGTGGTTGGTTAGTGGTTACTCACATGAGTTCTTGGTCTTACTTAACAGGATATTTCTTCTTTGCGCTTGCTAATTTCCTCAGTTTGATCAGTTACTAATTAAACACAAAACTTTATAGCAATCGACAATTTGATCGGTTGAGATCATTAATTAAAGATAATATTTTTCTTAATATTTGAAAACGTTATATTATCTTTGTTTGTGCGGTAGCTAGGCATTGGATTCTTCTACTATAAATAAGAGGAAAAGTATTAATCCTTGCAAACACACACGTACAGATAATATATGACAAGATATCATGTTGAAACAAATTAATATGAAAAGAGAGCTCAAACTTGAAGCATCGATGTAAGCGATCGTGCTAATAATGATACGATTTCCATATTAGAATACTCGTGTGGTGATTGGTGAAGAAAGCATTTTGTTTTAGAACTTTAAAAAGAGATATATTGTTTATAGTGTAAGAAGCACAACTACAATAATTTTTTATTTTTTTCCGATAGATATGTAGATTAAAGATTAGTGAAAGTTTTAGAAATCATACGGTACTTATAGAGGAAAAAGGAAATTTAAGAACGAAACTACGAGATGAGTTTTCTCACTAATTTACCTCAATATGATATCCAAAAATATGATAAATGTCCTCTGGAATATATATATTTGTTTATTAGAACTTTGATATGCTTTTAAAGAAGTGCTGTTAAAACTTCTTTTTTTTTTTAAAACTAATAATAATAACTTCAAAGTTGCTCTTAAGTTATATGCATATGAAAATAAAGTCATAAGTTTTTACATTTTGATTACCAATGTGCGAGTTCAACATGAATCGTTGAGAATTTCAATGTACCGATCCAAGTCCAAGATATACGGCAAATCCAACATCCAATCCAGTCTTTAACACATGCTCTACTCAGTTCTTATATAAACATAGTAAATTATATAATTAAAGTATAATCTAAAACTAATATCCAAAGGGGTCAGGCTTTGAGAGAGGGGTGGGGGGGAGAGAGTTGGGTTAAGTAGTTAAGCCACTTTGCTCCAAAAAGTAAGGATCAAACGGCTCTCAGTGATCTGAGGAGCCATCGTCCCTTCCTCATCGTCCGATCCCCGACTCGCCGCGTCTTAAGACATCACTAAACAAATGGTTTCATTATTTCATTGTAATCGGCTCTTTTATGTACTTTTAATCTTCCATTACTTTCCTTATATTTCCTAAAGACTCAGTTGGAATCCATGTGGGTTTGTGATAACTTATCAGTTTTATCGTATACACACAATTTATTTAATTATTTAGTTTGCAAATTATACGATATATATTGTCGTGCACGAAATATCTCTCTATTTTTATTTATATAAAAACAGAACGAACCATTTGTTTCACTGCAATACTTTGTCTGAATCCGGCAGGCCCTACACATGTCGCTTTTCTGGAAACAATAATTCCATTCCTTAATTACAAGATTAAACCTATAGCTCTCCTTAATTATTAGCTAGACTTTCATATTATAACAAATATCAAAATCATGAGTGTCATGTAGTTCGTATGTTTATGTGTATGTGTATGTACGTCTAGGAAAATTAGCTAGTGGTGGAAAAACTCTCTCAAGGCAAATGTTAATTAGTAAGTAAACTACTTTACTAATATATTATCTCATTTGTATGTACTTGCATAAATAAACTAAGGATATATTAGATATAATATACTTTTTCTCTGAAGCAAAGCCCGCGATAATGGAAGGTGATGTCACACTGTTTAATGACTTTTTAAATGAAAGCCAAAGTGATTAAATATTATTGTTTGTCGCCACCCATTGCGGCATCACACTAGAAGTTAAATTACATAATTGTTAATATACTAACAATTTGCTATTTTTGATTTTAGAATTATAGTTTGATTAGGTGTAAAGCCTGGATTAAAAGATAGATTAATCTCCTTCCAAGAATCCACTGAATATATTTTGATTACCCTAAAAATAATTAGGATGCAATTTTTAATTTTTTTTTACTCAATTAGGGTGCAATTATATTTGCATATAAATTATTAGTTCTCTCTATGTTTTTTTTCTCTATAAAAGAATCACGATGACGTGCTTCCCACATACATATAGTTAAACCTAGCTAGCTATACGGTGTGACTTTTTTTTACTTGACTATATGTTGTATTGGCTGGTTTCTAATCTCAACCTTTACTACTTATTTTTTTCTTTCTATTACGAATCTGAATTTTAATTAACAAGTTACAATTTACAGTACATAAAGACATATATATATATATATATGCTTGGTCAAATATATATATATATTGTAATAGTGTTTATCATTTCGTTTTTAATTTCTGTTTAATCTATATATAGTAATAAAATAAAAACAACATCGTATTGCAGAATCGCCAAGCATCAGCAATCAGGAATTGTCAAAATTCGTTCATTTATGTATATGTTTTGTTGGATCTATCTGACATTTTCTTATGACGTCAACCCAATTAATAAATATATATGTATTTAAGTTGTAGTTTCTGACTAAATATAATAAAATTTATGTGGGAAAAACAAACAAGAAATATATCATCTTCGTTTGTCAAAGCCAAATCTTATTTTGTATCAGCTAGAGAGTACTAAACAAACTGAATATGCTAAACTAAAAATATAGGTCGATTTGTCTATCTTATGAAATGTTGTTAGTACTTTCTAATTTATTCTGACATTCTATAGCTAAAATACGTCATAATAAAATTAAATTTGAGCATGTTGGGAAAAAGAAACTATAATTTGGAGCATAGAATATATATATAGTTCACCATATATATTTGGACGATGGAGTGCTAATTTGAGATACAAAGAACGTGTGGGGAGATTAATCGGTCAACTTCAGCATACGTAAGCCTTCATATCTACCATTTTTTAAAACATACATAAATAAATCAAACTAACATATAAAACTATTTTATTTGATGCAGATATACATATATATATTTTTATCAACATGTTGCAGATGTAGACATATGAAATTAATCGTAATTTACGTGAACAGATTTATTTCCATATTTCTCACGCGCGTATGACAAACACGAGCCAAGTAGAATCAATCAAGAAACAAGAGCTAGAGAGATTCATATTTGATATTTGCGAACAAGTTTTTTTTTTTTTTCAAAACAAAAAGGTTTGATAAATTTTGCATTTTTACATACAATATAATATGTTTTAATAGAAATTTAAAGAAAATAGCAGAAGCAGATTCTCTTTGTTGTTTTTGATGTGAATATAGATATATACCTAAAAAGCATCGCTGTAAACGATAAGTACTAATGTTATTAAAAAGAGTTCGTAGTTGAATATTCGTGAAGGTTGTGTGTCGCACTATTTTGATAAATGTTTGAAAGTACAATTGATAAAATACTTGTTTAATAGACTCGAGAAGATTAATTGCAAAACTGTCTCGGATTAGGGTTCGTGCATGTTGTAATTAGTTCCGCGTGCTTACCTATATTGCATCTGAATCTTCAGATTAGTATTACTTTTTTAAAGATTCAATCTTATAATTTATACTTTATGTTAAAGGCTAGCTGGTGAAAACAAAGGTTATCTTAGAAATAAGTAAGACTAAGATTCTTTTAGCAGAATAAGATCTAATCCATATATATGATAGAATGGGTAAGAATAGTCATTAAAATATAGAATGGTTGGAGTGTTGGAGATCGTGGTGAGTTTGAGATCAAGTCAAACAATGTAATTTGGCAAAAACATGATACTACCAATTTTAAGCTGCGGCTTAACATTTAGGTTAGTTAGTGACAGGATCTCAACAAGTTTCTTTTGAGATAAACTCTGTTTTAGTACTGTGTGGTTAGATATACGTTTGAAACTTCTTTTACATTTTGACGACACACAATTTTGTATTTTTGGTTTTCCACCATAAAATATTTTAAAAAATCCACTATTTTGCGATCGTCACAGTTATATTAACTCAATGCTTTGTTACTATAGGTCAAAATTAGAAACTTATACAATTTAATTACATGTAAGAAGCTACACCAAAATATTCAAACTAACAATTTGAAAACTTGTTACAATATACAAAAATATCAGTTTTTACATTTTGAAAGCGAAAAGCTAAACATTTATTATTAAGCATATATATATATATATATATATACACCAATATCCTAAATACATTAATACATACCATCAAATCACAACACTAACCAGTTAGAAGCAAGCATCTAATATAATTACAGCGCAGATATTACATATATACTAATTAAAGTCTTAACCTAAGATCCAAAGAACACTCTAATGTGTCTGAAATAGAAAGATCATGTATTGTAGCAGGAACATTCAGATCCAAAGCACCTCCATTTATCGGCTCCTCTTCCCTTTCCCAGTGACATCTCATGTGACCTCCTAAAGCCTGACCACTAGAGAACACTCTAAAACAGATATTACACTTGTGGTTCCCTGAAAACGTAACGATCTTTCCCTGATGATCTTGATGATCACTAGAAGTAGTACTCGTCGTCATAGGATCATCGGTTACGTTTGTAATTGCGAAACATCCTTTAACGTTCTTATGACTTGCTCTGTGTCCTCCTAAAGCCTGATGTGATCCAAACCTTTCTTACATACTCCACACTCGAACCGCTCACTACTCGATGACGATGGTGTGCCACTAGACAGCAATAAGAGACAAGAAGCAACTTCATGATCTTCCTCGGACATAAATGAGACCCAATCTGGTGATCTCTGGCTTAGTGGTTTTGATGAAGCCGCGGTGGTGGGGCTGCGGTAGTTAGGAGGAGGATTGATGCCACGCCATTGACGCTCAGGGTGACATCTCATGTGACCAAAGAGGGCTTTCAAAGACCAGAACTGTCTGCCACATTCGGTACACGGACGCGTGATTTTGGCGGCATTAGGGTCTGGTTTTTTTGTGTATCTTGGTTTTAATGCGGATTTTGGTGAAAAACTAGGGGATGAAGCAACGGTTTTGGTGCGTTTCTTCTTAGGACTGTGATCGTAACTTGGGGATAAAGCAAACCGGAGATTTGGATTAGGGTTGCTTGCATTGGAAGGATGAAGTGGAATGTGAAAGTTGGGATCATAAAAGGAATTGTTGTTAGTCATCGTGATCACGTAGAGAAACTGATCGGAGAAAAAGAAAAAAAAAAAAGTAGGAGTCAGAGAATGGACTTGCTTAAGTAGAAGTAGAAGTAGAAGAAGGAGACGGTTACGTAGGAAAGAAGTTATGGAGGAACATGGAGACAGTTAACTTCAGTTGAGGAACAGAGCGGTTTACTATGTAAGGAATAGTTTGAAAACCACGTTTTTTATGTGTCAGTTTTGTTTTATTCTTGGCCCAAATATATCTAATGGGCCTTATAATACTAAAGTCCATTTTCTCAAGTAAACAATAAAAAAAATAAAGATCTGAGTGGAAATTGAGCTTCCAATTACCCAATTTCGGTGGAGCTTCCACATAGCGAAAAAGCAAATTTCCACTCTCCCATGATACAACAACACTATGGAATGGAATATTATAGTAAATTTTATTAGGATTTGTTGCCTAGTTTTTTTTTTGGATTTTATAACCAACAATAGATCCATTTAATAAATACAAAAAAGCCTTGATTTTTCTTCATCCTGCGTTTTTGTTTTCTAAAACCATATAAATGACAACAACTTTGCTTCTTTTTATAATTAATAAATGTGTCTCTCTTTTTTTGGTAACAAGGTTTAAACTTTAAAGGTTGTTTATATAGTACAAGTGTACAACAAAACAATATTGGAAGGGCCAATTGTTATTTTTTTGGGTATATGAAAGTTACAAATAAAAAGAATAAGTCCAAACAACATATTTGGAGATATATCAGTATGTGGAACATGGGAAGATGGATATTTTAAATTGTGGAATACCTGAAGCAAAGGATATTCGTAATATACGTATCAAATACCACAAAATCTATTTTGTATATCACTTTTCCAAAAAAAAAAAAAAAGAACAATAACATAAAAGGAGAGTCATTGGATCATGGATTTATAACGGAATCCAAAAATACAAGTATACAATATTGATTAAATAATCAAAAAGTATAATCAAACAACTCCATGACGCAAAAGATATATAGATTAATGATTTCATTAGCCAATAAAAGATTAAATCAAATAGTAATCAAGTTCTCTCATCATCTTCTTTCTCCTCTTTCCTTTTTCCTTTGGCTGGGAACAGAAAGGGTCACTTCGTACAGCTTGCAAACACAAAACATAAAGTTTTCATTTTTCACTGTAAACAAAAACAGAAACTTTAGATTTTCACATAGTTATTGAGATTATGTCTCATTATCGATGTCGACGAGACCACAATCATTGTTTAGTTTAGTCTATCTAGTTTCCTTCTTTAAAAAAAAAAAACCGTTCTCAGCCTGTAAATGTGCCTACTGCATGAATTTCACTTGGAAGTAATCAAATCTCACCAAAAAAGCTCAACACTTTTCCCAAATCTTCAAGCATACCCATGATTTCACTTTTATCAATTTAACTCCGTTTTTGTGTGTTTGTTGGAGACCCACACCCACTCGTTCTTCCCTTTTTTTATAATATATGTAGTCAGTCCTCTCTTGCTTGTTCCTCATGCCTTTGGTTTTCCTACGCTGACGAATCTGCTTTTCTAAAAGGATGGTTTTGATTTTGGTCTTGTTTTGGGTTTTAGCATCTTTCTGCCACTAGTTTCTTGCCTTTTGCTGTCTTCTCAATGTTTGAGGTAAGGGTTTAATCCTCGTGACACTTTACAGTTCTGGTAGAAAGCTACTTCCTTTACTCATCTTTCATATTTGTTTGTTTCTTAAAGAAGTTTCTAGCTTTCTCTTCTTATGTTACTCTTTGCTGTGACATAAAAGTATAAGTATCCCATTTTGTTTCGGTTGAACTGCCTCACAAATTATCTCATTTTGTGACTTTAATGGTTTGATCACAAGTTTCTGTCTGATGTTGTTTGTATCAGGATCTGATTAAGCTAAAGCAATGTTTTTGGTTTTGGTTCTATTAAGCTCCATTTTTCCTATTGGTGATGGAGCTTCAAGGCCTCGTAATGTTGATGTTGGAGCCATCTTCAGTTTAGGCACTTTACATGGTGAAGTTACAAAAATTGCCATGAAAGCTGCTGAGGATGATGTAAATTCTGATCCTAGCTTCCTTGGTGGATCGAAATTGCGTATAATGACCTATGATGCCAAGCGCAATGGATTCCTCACCATCATGGGAGGTGAAATAAAGTGATCTTTTTTCATTTAATATTGTTTTGAAACTTCTTAACTTTAACATATCCTTGTGTTGGTTTCATTTCACAGCATTGCAGTTCATGGAGACTGACGCTGTGGCTATAATTGGTCCTCAGACATCAATCATGGCTCATGTACTGTCTCATCTTGCTAATGAGCTTAATGTGCCTATGTTGTCATTCTTAGCTTTAGACCCTAGCCTCTCGCCGCTCCAGTTCCCGTTCTTTGTACAAACAGCACCTAGCGATCTCTTTCTGATGCGTGCCATTGCAGAAATGATAAGTTACTACGGTTGGTCAGATGTGATTGCATTGTACAACGACGATGATAGCAGTAGAAACGGTATAACAGCTTTAGGCGATGAGCTTGAAGGAAGGCGCTGCAAAATTTCATACAAGGCTGTGCTTCCTTTAGATGTGGTGATTACAAGTCCTCGTGAGATCATAGATGAGTTGGTTAAGATTCAAGGGATGGAATCTCGGGTAATCATTGTGAATACTTTCCCTAAAACAGGTAAGATGATCTTTGAGGAAGCCAAGAAGCTTGGCATGTTGGAAAAAGGCTATGTTTGGATAGCTACAACTTGGTTAACTTCTTTGTTAGATTCTGGTAACCCGTTACCTCCCAAGAATACTGAGTCTTTTAGAGGAGTGCTCAGTCTCCGTATTCACACGCCAAATTCAAGAAAGAAAAGAGATTTTGTAGCACGGTGGAACAAGTTGAGTAATGGGACTGTTGGGTTAGACGTATATGGACTCTATGCTTATGATACCGTCTGGATCATTGCTCGAGCTGTTAAGTCACTTCTAGATAGCGGAGCTAATATCTCCTTCTCTAGCGACCCAAAGTTAACCAGCATGACGGGAGAAGGGTCACTGAATCTAGGTGCATTGAGCATATTTGATCAAGGATCACAATTTCGTGATTATATTGTGAATACAAAGATGTCTGGTCTTACAGGTCAAATACAGTTTCTGCCTGACAGATCAATGATACAGCCTGCATATGACATCATAAACGTGGTTGATGAAGGGGTTAGGCAGATAGGGTATTGGTCTAATCATTCTGGGCTCTCTATTATACCTCCAGAGTCACTATACAAGAAGCCTTCAAATCGTTCAAGCTCAAACCAACATCTCAACAATGTGACTTGGCCTGGTGGAACTTCTGTGACGCCACGTGGATGGGTTTTCCCTAACAACGGGAGAAGACTGAGAATTGGCGTACCCGACAGAGCAAGCTTCAAGGACTTTGTGTCAAGAGTGGATGGAAGCAACAAAGTGCACGGGTATGCCATTGATGTTTTTGAAGCTGCTGTAAAAATGATTTCTTATCCAGTTCCTCATGAGTTCATCCTTTTTGGAGACGGTCACAAGAACCCAAACTTCAATGAATTTGTCAACAATGTCACTACCGGAGTGAGTAAAAGAATCATGAAAATATCATTTGCTTACAAAACATTGTCGAAACTGATTATGAGTTGTTCATTTTTGCTTTCAGGTATTTGATGCTGTTGTAGGAGACATAGCCATTGTTACAAAACGAACAAGAATTGTGGATTTCACTCAGCCATACATAGAATCAGGACTTGTCGTGGTTGCTCCTGTCACAAAGCTAAATGATACTCCGTGGGCATTCTTACGCCCTTTTACACCTCCAATGTGGGCTGTTACAGCCGCCTTTTTCGTCATTGTTGGATCAGTAATATGGATTCTTGAACATAGAATCAATGATGAGTTTCGCGGACCTCCAAGAAAACAAATTGTTACAATTCTCTGGTTAGTAAACTGTCACTGAAGATGCATATAATCGATATGTTGACATATAACATAACATATTTAAAGACCACACAAGCTATTTTTATTTTTGCAGGTTCAGCTTCTCGACCATGTTTTTCTCCCACAGTAAGTTACATCTAAAAATTGCAGCTAAGTTACTACAGTACATGTGATGATGTCCCTAAAATCTTTATGCAACTAAACTTGCAGGAGAGAATACAGTGAGCACACTGGGTCGTCTTGTGCTGCTGATCTGGCTTTTTGTGGTATTGATCATAACGTCAAGCTACACAGCAAGTCTTACATCGATTCTTACAGTGCAACAGCTGAACTCACCGATCAAAGGAGTTGACACACTCATCAGCAGCAGTGGACGAGTTGGGTTTCAGGTAGGTTCTTATGCTGAAAACTACATGATTGATGAGCTTAACATCGCCAGATCCCGACTTGTACCACTCGGCTCCCCAAAAGAATACGCTACAGCTCTTCAAAACGGAACTGTTGCTGCAATTGTCGATGAACGCCCTTACGTTGATCTCTTCCTCTCGGAATTCTGCGGATTTGCCATTAGAGGCCAAGAATTCACCAGAAGCGGCTGGGGTTTTGTGAGTACCTTTCATTTGAATCTCTGAATCTTTTTCTTTCTTTCTGGACTCGTTTGAACATTAACTTGATCATCTTCATTGCATTTTTTGTTTGTTAAAAGGCATTCCCGAGAGACTCTCCATTAGCAGTTGACATGTCAACCGCTATCTTAGGTCTATCAGAGACCGGACAGCTTCAAAAGATCCATGACAAGTGGCTGTCAAGATCCAACTGCAGTAACCTCAATGGTTCAGAGTCAGATGAGGATTCAGAACAGCTTAAACTCCGTAGCTTCTGGGGATTATTCCTAGTGTGTGGGATAGCTTGTTTTATCGCTCTCACTATCTACTTCTTCAAGATAGTCCGAGACTTTTGCCGCCACAGCAAGCCTGAGGAAGAAGCTGCTGCTACTTTACCTTCACCAGAAAGTTCGCGTTCTAAAACATTGCAGACGTTTCTAGCTTATTTCGATGAAAAAGAAGAGGATTCCAAGAGAAGGTTGAAGCGTAAACGAAACGATGATCATTCTGTAAGGCCTCCCAGACCAGTATGACAGATCCATGATTAATCAAGCCATTTTCTTCAGGCATGAAAGATGAAGAAATTGCATATACATACCTCATACATATTGCAGTAGAATGGAGATTTTGATTATAAGTATTATACTTCAATTATAAGCCTTGAAGTATACGGAACATTGTTAACCTCTGGAAATTGAAGTATACACACTTGTAAAACAAAGTTGTACTTATCATATCATCTTGAACAAGAAATTAATTACGTTGTCTTCCAATTGCGTTGCGTACCAATTGAGAAATTGTAAAATCTACAAGTGCCAATCCGGTTTAATTTCTGAACCGAACTGTATCCATTATTCGCACGATTTTCACACTCACTACTCACTAGATAAGTAGATTTTGAACATTTCATAAACCCTAACAAAGAAACATTAACAATTAGGTTAATCACATTGTTCATCTTGGTCTCTTGTTATTGTTGTATTGTGATTAGAAAGGTTTTGCTTGAGTTCCATCAATGGCGACCATATGTTTTCAATCTCCTTCAAAACCCTTTTACAATTTCCACTCAAAAACCAAAATTTCATCGCCGTTAATCACTAAAGTCTCGATCTTTAAACCCAGAGCCTCCGTACAATCACAAGGCCTTGACATCGCCACCGAGCCAGAACCAATTTTCACCTCCGTCAAGACTTTTGCTCCAGCGACTGTTGCGAATCTAGGTCCAGGCTTTGATTTCTTAGGATGCGCCGTCGACGGTCTCGGTGACCACGTCACTCTCCACGTGGATCCCTCTGTCCGTAGCGGAGAGATCTCAATCTCTGAAATCACCGGGACAACTACTGAACTCAGCTTTGATCCACGCCGTAACTGCGCCGGAATTGCAGCTATGGCGGCGATGAAGATGCTTGGGATCAAATCTGTTGGTTTATCGTTAGCTTTGCATAAAGGTCTTCCTTTAGGGAGTGGTTTAGGTTCTAGTGCGGCTAGCGCCGCCGCAGCAGCTGTGGCGGTTAATGAACTATTTGGCCGGAAATTAGGAAACAACGAGCTTGTTCTCGCCGGATTAGAATCGGAAGCGAAAGTTTCAGGCTTTCACGCTGATAACATTGCGCCGGCGATTATGGGTGGATTCGTTTTGATCAGAAGCTACGAGCCGCTTGATTTAAAACCTTTGAGATTCCCATTAGAGAAAGATCTCTTCTTTGTTCTCGTTAGCCCTGATTTTGAAGCTCCAACTAAGAAAATGAGGGCAGCATTAGCCAAAGAGATTCCAATGGCTGACCATGTTTGGAACAATAGCCAAGCAGCGGCGTTGGTTGCGGCGGTTTTGGAAGGTGACGTGGCGAGTCTGGGGAAGGCGCTTTCGTCGGATAAAGTTGTGGAGCCGAAGAGAGCACCATTGATTCCGGGAATGGAAGCTGTGAAGAAAGCTGCTCTAGAAGCTGGAGCATTTGGTTGCACCATTAGTGGAGCTGGTCCAACGGCGGTTGCGGTTATCGACACGGCAGAGAAAGGTTACGAGATCGGAGATAAAATGGTAGAAGCATTCTTGGAATTCGGAAACTTGAAGTCTATTGCTTCGGTGAAAAAACTTGACAAAATTGGAGCTAGACTTATCAAAAGCATGTAATTTTCCGAGTTTCAAGGATTTGCTCTGTGGGATTCTTCTGCAAATGGTAAATGATAATAAAGAGATTCGTAATTGAAAGTTTGAAACTTTTTTTTTTGTTCTCCCCACACGAGGAAGAAAGCGAGAGAGAGCGAAATGATTATTACTGCACAAAGTAATAAAGGACAACAACAAATCCACATGAACATGGAAACATTACACAAACTTGACCTCAAGTCTTTCAGATTTTAGTTTCTCAGTCGAGTTTAGCAGCTTCAGCTTGTCTAGCTCCAACAGAGAAGAACTCAGTGATTACTTCAAGTGGCATGCCTTTAGTTTCAGGGACTTTCATAAACACAAAGACCCATGAGATGCAACAGACGATTGCGTACATTCCAAACACACCAGCAAGTCCAATGGATTTAAGAAGCACAGGGAGACTGTAGGTGACGATAATGTCACAAATCCAGAAGGTGAGTGCACAAATAGCGATGCAGATTCCGCGGACTCGAGTTGGAAAGATCTCTGAACAAAGGATGTTTGGAGCAGGACCAAAACCCATCACGAAGAAACAGAAGTAAAGAACGACGCTTACGGTTGATAAGACTGCGTGCACAATGCTGTTCATGTGAACTAGATTTGAGATTACTAATACCAATAGAGATGCTATCAAGATTGGTATCGTGGTGAGAAGCAAGGTCCTGCAGAAAATAAAAAAAAGGAAAGGACATTACGTAACACATTTTAGCTTGTTTTGTTTTGTTTTGTGTATTGTAAAATACTATGAATCAGTAACAAAGGAAGTTTAAGTTTAATCACCTTCGACCTGAGAGATCCATGAGTCTCATTGCAACAGCTATTGCAGGTAACATCACAAAGGTTGTCAATGCACTTATAAGTAAGGATGCAGAGGAAGAACTAATCCCCATGTTTGATAGTAAAATCCCGACACCCGCCTGCTCGAGGATTTGAGGTGTGTAGTAAAGAACTCCATTGATGCCTGAGAACTGCCTTTCCAAAAAGACACAGAAAAACATAAAGTTACCATAAACTGCATAATTTTCTTATATGATTCACTAATCTTGATGTCTCTATCTAGATTACCTGCTGAAGTATTTGAAGTCCGACTCCTACAACTAGCGCACGTTTGACTCCAGGATCATGAAGATCATGCCAAATCGACCCTTTAGCTGTTTCCGACGGATGTACCATAGCAGGACCAATTGTATGTTCTTTGAGAAGGTCTTTGGAATAAAGAGCTGGTTGGCTAACCAAAGCAGACGCTTGTACAAACTCTGCCTCACCAGTTCCATCACCTCCAGGCAATGAAACAATTGAGCCACGTCGAGATCCTGGGAAACCTTCTTGATGCAAGTATATTCGCTTAAATCCACCTTCTTTTTGTCCTGATTCATCTTCTCTTTCAGTCCATTTCCATGCCACTTGCCATCCACCTCCAATCCCCAAACTACCCGCTCCTTCCCCCTGAGCTCCCTGCACTTGACTCCCATGTCTGAAGGTAGAAAGAGTTCCATGGGCAGTAGTGTGAGGCATGTCTTTCTCCATGCTTGTCGTTTGACGTGAGATCAAAGGAGAATGAAGATCATCATCAGAATCATCTCCATGGTCGGATGGATAATCCTCACCTTCTCCAACAAGATTCTCTTCATCCCAATCTTCATGTCTTGGTTGATTCCCTCCCACACTGAACATACTCCCAAAATGAGGAAACAAGGCACTCCTCATGCTTCCAGTTTCCGGCATCTTCTCGTGAACGCTCCCAAACAGTGTGACAAGAGGATCAATTAATGAGCCTTGTCTCCTGCTCATTGTGCTTCCATGACGAGATAATACACTCACAGTGCTTCCTCCTTTGACTGGCCTAGCAACCCAACTCAGGCCTTCTTCTGCACCATACAACTTAATTTGATCCTTATCCACAGCTATATCCTGATCATCAGTGACTTCATCGGCAGGACCGATTATATATTCCTCTATGGTTGTTTCACCTCCAATTCCAAGACCCTCAACCAACAAAGCCATCTCACCTAATCATTGCCACATAAGAACATTCAATAAAAAAGTAATTTCTTCACTGAAAGAATAAGAGGTAGAATGATCTAAAGACTAACCAGACACATCTTCCCGACCACGTAGTCTCTGCAGTACCCGCTTTGCTTCAAGCATTCGACCTTTGCTTACGAGCCACCTGGGGGACTCAGGCAAGAAGAAGACTGTGAGGAAGAAAAAGATAAGGGAAGGGGCGAAAAGGACACCAAGCATCAGTCTCCAGCTAGGTGATGGCATCAACGACATTCCGAAAACCATACAGTAAGATAAGAACATCCCTCCAGAACCAGTGAACTGTGGAAGCGTATTCAACAGACCCCTTATCTCAGGAGGTGCAGTCTCGGATATATATATAGGAACAAGTGTGACCACAAGACCAACCCCAAATCCATCTAACAACCTTCCTAAGAGCAACACGTAAACGTTCGGAGACCATAGCATTACTAGAGAACCAACAAAGTAGAGAATTGAGGACAATATTAGCATGGGACGGCGACCAAGCCAATCAGCTACGCCTCCAGAGCATGTTGTAATCAGAGTAGCACCAATAAGTGACATCGCCACAATTAGACCTTCCACTGATGGATTACTCTCCAAATTAAATTCCTTTTTTATGTACAACACAGCTCCTGCAGAGTCCAAAAGAAAGCTTAAAATCCATCACACAAGCAAAAGAGATCAGCTATAAGGATGATACAGAATCTGTGAATTGTATCAAATACCCTTCAAAAATCATTTCTTTCTCGATCCTGAAATTTCATAAACAGAGTTAAGGATTTAGAGCATAAGGAACAAATCAGTCACCTGCAATTGTGGCGTTATCCCATCCTTGTAACAAGTTGCCAACAGCAGCAGCAACAGCAACAAGCACCGCTCCACTCATAACTCCGTCTCAATCTTTTTCAAGAACTCTGAAGCGAATTTCGAAAAACAGAGTCACTGATCAACGCTGCGTGAGACAAAACCCACCTGAAAAATGAAAATCAGACACAAACACAAGTGAGCTAAAAGATAAACAGAGAGATAACACCAAAAAGCATGACCAAAGACTATAACAAACCAATTGAAACAAACCCATTAGGTGACGTAAAAGACACATACCCAAAGAGGTTCTGGAAAAAACAGAGGTAAATAATCCCCAGATGTAAAAAAAATCGAAACTTTGAATAAAATTTGACTACTTTTTATCTCTTGTTCCAAGTAGAAGAGAGAGAAGAGGAGAGAAAGCAAGAAAGCGCGAGAGAATATGATATATAGAGAGATGAAAACTAGGGTTTGCAACTTGGAATTGGAGGCAGAGTGAATAAGCCACTATCAGTGAGCCGCTGCTTCAATGGCGTCACTACGCAATCAAAAAGCATTTTTTTTTCTTTTCTCTTTTGGTTTAAATTAGAAAAGAAAACGAAAGCAAGATTTCGAAATAACCGTGAGAATATAAAAAGGATTACTTTTATTTTGCGAAAGGACTGTGAACAGAGAGAAGCCTATGGGATTAGTGACACCTGCCTCTTTGCTCCTGTCCTCTCACAGCACGTATGTGTGTATATGCTCTCTCGTGTTTGCGTACAGAGTTTTTTTCCAGAGAGTTAACACTCAGCGCCAATAAAAAATCTATAAATTTGTGATCTTTTCGATTTGGGTCCACGAGTTTGTAACATCATTCACTCACCGTTCAAATTTCTCGAAAGGTTGTTCTTTTTACCATATTGGGTTGGCGCATTCAAGAAGTAAAGGTCAAAATTTTAAGTTAGGGTATTTTTTGGACTTTTTTATTAAATCATACATAATCCAGACTTCTAAATAAGTTATAGGATTATAATTGTGTTTTATATAAACCTAATAAACCCATTATAGTAATTAAATATCTGATATAATTAGAATTAAATATAGCTGATTAATTTAAAATTTGGGGTTTGATATAAGAAAATTGAAATACTATTTAGTAGTTTTGTAATCCATTGCTAACTGATATACAATTTGATTAATTAATAAATTAAACTCTACAAGATTAGCTTGTTTATCTAATTAGTCGAATCAGTTTAACATATTATGTAAATATATCTTTGTGTTTTTAATATTCTTTCAATGATCTTGGCATGCAAGAGGTAAATATAAAAATATGAAATTAGGGCATCAGTTTTTAGGTAAAAGGATATAAATTTGGACTTCTTATGTCGGCATAATTGGGGAAAAGGATTGGTACTTTGTTTTGTAAATATGAAAGAAATATAGGATTGACTTCTGAAATCTTAGATTCATTGGGACTATAAGAGGGAAAAAAAAAACTAGAGATAAAATATCTGATTTTATGTAAGCAGCATATATAACTTGAGTTTTTAGCTGAAAATAAAGTTATAGGTAAAGTAAAAGTTTAGTTTGTTTACATCCGGAAAGCATCTACAAATCATTTCAACTTTGCATAATTAATCAAGAAAGAAAGAAAAAAAAAATGCAATAATGGAGAATATTGTCCAAACACAATGAGACACTTTAAACTTTAGTTAATCGTGAGTCGTATTCGAATGTTACAATGTAATGATTAGTTTATTTCTTCAAATTACTATAATCTTTTTCCCTTACAGATTAAAAGGAAAGAAAAAGAAGGCATATATTTTGATTCGTATGATTTTTTGTTTTGTTTTGTTTTAACAATAAATATTTTGATTCGTAAATTCGTTTTTTAAAATATACAAATTCGTTGTGTACGTTTGCATCTGTAGATTGGTTTAATAATAACTCATCATATTTTTAGATTTTTTCTTTCCGGAAATGAAAGTAGTATTACTGTATAACACGGAAACAGAATCTTGTAAAAAAGTTTATCGGCATGTGAATGCGAATATAAATAAAGATTCTTGTCCACATCATCAAAACTAATCATCATGTTTGCTTCTTATAAAATTCCGTAGAATGGGGAGAAACGGACCATTTCACTGATGTTTGTCACTGGTTAAGATATTTCTCTTGGGACAGGAGGAACAGTCTTTAGTACTGTTTTAAAGGACTAATACGGAAAAGTGAACAAAATAATAATAACGTTTTATGTTTTGTGTATGTGAAAACGAACTCAAAACCAAAGTTCGAGATTCAAGAAATCATCTAGCGAGAGAGTTTGCTAAGAAATCTGTCAGGAAAATGATAAATGTCCCAAAATATGTTTTTGCCTGTGTGAAGGTCTCATTGTGTGGATGTCTCATTGTGATCAATCCGAGTTTTTTTTTGTTTTTTGTTTTCTTTCTTGTAGGAACTGAAAGTAACGATATCGGGCCTGAACAATACAAGTGATACGGCATTGGGGGTGTGAGTTTGAATATTGGGCCAGATCAGTCGATAAAAATAGGCCCAAAATAGATTTTTTTGTTAATGACCCTGGTTTTACGGTCTTTTGATGTTTCTTCTCTGATTACTCACAAGTTTCCAAGTTCTTGGAAGTATTAATTTTGCATGAATGCATTTAGGATACACTTACTTGTGTATTCAATCATATAAAATCCTTCACTCAACTGGGGATTGTGACATTGTGTTATGATGCTTATATGCATGGGAAAAGTCAAATCTATCAGGTCATGTTAGTCAGTGACGTCATAATTGATATTAATTTTATTTAAAATCTGCATAACATTATTTTGAGAAAAAAGTCTCAAGAGTTTACTGTTCCTAGGACATTCCCTTGAATGAATTGAATTAAATCTTCTCGTATTAGAATATAACCATTAATTACAAATTATCTTGACACCATATACTGTATAGATTAGATGAATCGAAGCTTCCTACTGTTTAGATGAAATAAAACATGTTTGGTGCTATATCTTTTACATGTTACAAGTATATATAGTCGAGGAAAGCAAATGAACACAATAGTTAAATTATAAAATGATACTAAAATCGTATCCAACATTATAGTTTTTTTTTCCCCCTCTATAATATGGTGCACCACTCCAATAAAATCAGATGAATTATTGGCAACATAACAAAAACAACAAGAAAGCATGATTGTGTTTGTGAAGGTCAATGCCCAATGGTCATCGACTTACAATCGAATATTCAAAAAATAATAATATTCTCTCTCATATCAAAAGAGAAAGAACTGGTTTTTGAATTTTAATAATGCAAAAGTGAAGAAGGTGAGAGGAAACCACAGAGTTGGAGAGAGTCAGAGAGGTGTAGCTGGTGAGCACTAATGAAGAAGGACCTTTCTTCGCTCAATCGCCGCCGTAAAATAAAGCCATCACATTCTCATCCAACGAATCTTATTTATCCGACCAAACCAAACTAAAACAACAACAAAAAAATCTATTCTTTTTTTTTCTTTTTATATATAAAAGTTTACTTCAATCTCGAAATAAATCGTTTTTAATAATAGTATAAAATATTGTAGCTTTCCCTTCTTGTTCGACTCTCTTTTGTCTCCCAAAATTTACTTTCTCTTTTTTAAGTCAGATTCCTAATCCATTCTTTCTTTCGGTCTTCTTCTTCTATTTCGCCGTTCTGAGAGTACCTTACTACTACTGGTAAACTAGATCCTCTCTCACCTTTTTTATGCTTTTTAGCTTTATTTCATTCTCTGTTTTGTGATTCTTATCAAAGATCCATTGAAGAAACTTCTTAGCTATTTTCTTGTTTGTCTTTTTGGTTAGTTTGACTATTTTGATCTGATGTGGGTTTTTTGTTTTCCTTACTTGTGATTGTTGAAGTTCGTTGTTTAGCTTCTGGGATTTGGTCTGCTTGTGACAGTGTTTTGAATATATTTTATTATTATTTATGAACAGTTCCCTTGGATGAAGAACAGAAAGTGAAAGTTGCAGTCTTTAAACTAGGATTTGGTCAATTCCCATTGTTTCATGGGCAATTCATGCCGTGGATCTTTCAAGGACAAAATCCACCAAGGCAATAACAATAAGCCTGAAGATAGTAACTCTAAAACCTCTACTACCAACGTTTCTTCTAATTCCGACCATTCTCCGACCAACAACGCTGCTGAAACCATTGCTCAAGAATTCTCCAAAGAAGTAGCTCACAAGAAAGACAACAGCAAAAATCCAGCTCTTCTTATTCCTTTAAGAGAACCAATCATGAGGCGTAACCCGGACAATCAAGCTTACTATGTTCTTGGTCATAAGACACCAAACATTCGTGATTTCTACACGCTTAGCCGTAAGCTAGGACAAGGTCAATTTGGAACGACTTATCTATGTACAGAAGTTTCAACGGGCATTGACTACGCTTGTAAGTCAATATCCAAGAGGAAGTTGATCTCCAAGGACGATGTTGAGGATGTTAGGAGGGAGATTCAGATAATGCACCACTTAGCTGGTCACGGTAATATCGTGACGATTAAAGGAGCTTATGAGGACTCTTTGTATGTTCACATTGTGATGGAGCTCTGTGCTGGAGGTGAATTGTTTGATAGGATTATTCAGAGAGGGCATTATAGTGAGAGGAAAGCTGCTGAGCTGACTAAGATCATTGTCGGGGTTGTTGAAGCGTGTCATTCGCTTGGTGTTATGCATAGAGACTTAAAGCCTGAGAATTTCTTGTTGGTTAATAAGGATGATGATTTCTCCCTCAAGGCTATTGATTTTGGACTATCTATCTTTTTCAAACCAGGTATAATGTTTGTACCTGATTAGAGAATCTTATGAAACCAAAGAACATACTTTTATAGTGTGGTTCTGATCTGCTTTATTTTGATCTATCTTCATGTGATTTTCAGGTCAAATATTCACTGATGTTGTTGGAAGTCCTTATTATGTTGCTCCTGAGGTTTTGCTCAAACGTTATGGGCCTGAAGCTGATGTGTGGACTGCTGGTGTTATATTGTATATATTGCTAAGCGGAGTCCCGCCTTTCTGGGCAGGTAAATTCTGATTGACGTTTGGCATGTAAGCCCGTTTCTTAGTCATTTAGACAGTAGTAGTCACCTGAGATATGTTTTGTTTTGTCTTATTTGAATCAGAAACACAACAAGGGATATTTGATGCTGTGTTGAAAGGATATATAGACTTTGAGTCAGACCCGTGGCCTGTGATATCCGACAGTGCTAAAGACTTGATCCGCAGAATGTTATGTTCCAAGCCTGCAGAACGTTTGACCGCTCATGAAGTCTTGCGTATGTATTCACATGAATGGTTACTTATTGCAACAACCAAACAGCATCAGACTTATATGTTCTTGTTTTTTGCAGGTCATCCATGGATTTGCGAGAATGGTGTTGCACCAGATAGAGCACTTGATCCGGCTGTTCTGTCCCGTCTCAAACAGTTCTCTGCAATGAATAAACTAAAGAAGATGGCTTTGAAGGTGGGTAAATTTTTTGCATATAAACCCCATATCTTCTACTGTGGTCACTATTTTCACTTTTAATGAAACTGTTTGTGTTTTGGGGTCATCAGGTTATAGCTGAGAGCCTCTCAGAAGAAGAGATTGCTGGTTTAAGAGAAATGTTTCAAGCAATGGATACTGATAATAGCGGTGCAATCACATTTGATGAACTCAAAGCTGGGCTGAGAAAATATGGGTCTACCTTGAAAGACACAGAGATCCATGATCTTATGGACGCGGTAAAAAATCTAACCTTGCTTTGGTAAATACATTGACAATGAAGTACAGTACGTTCTAACGCTGAGCTCTAATATTGACCAGGCTGATGTGGACAACAGTGGGACAATAGATTACAGCGAGTTCATTGCAGCGACTATCCATCTCAACAAACTGGAGAGGGAAGAGCATCTTGTCGCTGCGTTTCAATACTTTGACAAAGACGGTAGCGGTTACATAACAATCGATGAGCTGCAACAAGCATGTGTTGAACATGGCATGGCTGATGTTTTCCTTGAAGACATCATTAATGAAGTTGATCAAAACAATGTAAGCTTATATTAACTCTGTTCCACAATTCTCTCTAGGCTAATGTCGAAGTATCATCTCATAACTGGTTTTTATGTTGGTCCGAACAGGATGGAAAGATTGATTATGGTGAGTTTGTGGAGATGATGCAAAAGGGAAATGCTGGTGTTGGAAGAAGAACGATGAGAAATAGTCTAAACATTAGCATGAGAGACGCGTAGAGAACCTGCTTGTGCGATTGAGACTTGGTAAATGTTCTTACTCATGGGATCAACAATCTCAATGCTCGGTTGCTCCCCACGTAAAAGGAGAGAAAAAGAAGAAGACCAAACTGGATTCATCGGTTCGAGCTAATGTTTAACGACTGTGTTATTAATTATCAAGTAGCTTTGGAGGTTTTATTCTTTTCCTTTTTGTTGTCTGTATGTTTGGTTTTTGTTTATTATGGCCATTGTTGAAGTTAGTGAGCTTTGTTCATCATCTTCAATTGTGTAACTTTGTTCACTCTTTGTATTTGAAAAAACAAGAAAAAATGTCTTTGTACGTTGTGTGATTTCTAAGCATATTTACTTTGGAAAACTCTTCTTCTTTCTAGACGACCACGACCCTTCATCAATCTCAGACTACACAACTCTGATTTTGAAATAAACATATTTATATGAAAACAAGCATCTGCCTATGATGTGGAAGATGATGATTGATGAGCTAGCGAGTCTCAATCATGCAATCAAAGTGCTCTTTTCTAAGTAATCTGTATTAATTAAAACTCAAAGGCTGTTCGAACACAATCATTCATTGGCCACAATCTGTAATTTTTGGAACATTATACCAAAAACTATTTTAATATCATTTACATTAACATATTTTCTGGCAGTCCTCATATTCTCACATGCTTTGTAACGCCGCAACCTTTAACATAAACTATTTATATTAATTTATTTTTGGTCTCATTTTTAATTTTATCATACTTGAGTTAGTTAGTGTTAACCTCTTCTTGATAGTTTGAACTTTGAAGGTAATTGAAACAAAATACGATCATTTTTGGGGTCAGATCACCAAGTTCTTTTTGATATATAAAGTAATCCACCCTGAAGATGAAATCCAAGTTTAGTTATAAATTATAATGAGAGCAATAAATAAGAATTCGCCACCGACGATACTGCTGCCACCGACAAATGTTATGTCGGCCACACACGTTCTCAGTTTAATGGAACCGAACCGAAGTTTCGTTAGTACCACCATGTCTTCTTTTTTTAACCATACTCGTTGAAAAAACCCACAAACTGGGGGAAAATATTTTGGTGAAACAGTTTATGATTAAATGTTTGAACCTAGTTAGTTAACTTTATAAAATTCTTGCTCTTGTTCTCATTGTTATAATTATCATCACCGTCATCAATTATCATTTGTGATCAATGTGAAGATATGGAATAATACAGCAAAATTTCATATATGGCGCGTAAAAAAAATAACGGATTTCTATATATAATTGCATGGTTATTAAAATACAAAATACAACTGCACATAGCACAAACATGAAAATAAAAATAAATAAATTGATTAATGATCTAGGCAAAATACAACATTCAAATTTAGAAATATAATACTCCATTGCGTAAAATGTAAAGAAGAAGAAGAAGAAGAAGTGACAAATCACAAAATCTCAAACCCCATGTGAAGCAAGCTTCAAGAATCAAGAATCATATATGTTTATCGTTGACGCTTGTATTTGCAAGAAAGAGGAAGAGAATCAGAGGAAGAAGAACCCATGAGGTTACGGATCTGAGACCGGAGCTTGAAGAAGACGTGCATTATACTTCCTCTGTTTTGAGAACCAATAGATTTAATTTCGTCTTTGTTAAGCTCAAGATCTCTGATGAATATAGGTTTTCTTGACAGGATCCACGACCATCCCCATTCCCACCATTCTTTCACAGAGCTCCCTGCTTGCTCTCCCATGGCCGAGACAGATTTGGATCTCGGGAACCTAGCTGCTATCGCCGCTGGTTGGTTTGAAAGGTTTAGGGAGAGAGAAGAGAGACGACGGCGGATGAGACCAGGCTCATCTTCAGCGGTGGAGGAGCTAGGGCGTTGAGAAACGGGGAGAGAAGTGGGTTTACGAATCTGGAGAGTCTCCATCATTGAACTCATTGCTTTGTTGAGTTGTTCTTCTTCCTAAGGAAAGAGAGAGATTGAAGAAGAAGAAGAAGAAGAATGTGAATGTGAGAGAGATAGATTAGTGAGCACAGCTCTAACACAGGCTGGGTTTTTATTCCATTTTTATTTTGTAGGCTCCATTTACTTTTATGCCCAGCCAATCACATTTCGTTTTTTTTTAATATATAACAATTGTATTTTTATGTTTATTGTTGTTTTGTATATTGTATAGTTTACTTGTTTTGTGTATGTATGCATCTAAAAAAATAGATATACATTGTTTTCAGGTAGGGTTCCATTCCATCAAAATTCACAAAACACAAATAAAATTAGGTTTTTTTTCTTTGTAATTGCACCACCCACTGGCAAACAAATTTCATGTTGAAAAAAACAAAAATCAAATCACCTTCAAACAATAACATAATATTTGTGAGAAGAGCCCAGACGAGACAACCAGGTATTGTCTTGGACTAAGGCCCAATGGATATTAAGCCCAACATAGAATATTAAGCACTTTTTTCCTTTTTCTTACATTTAATTGTCCAAAATTTCCATTTTTTTTTTTTTAAAGCTGGAGTTTGGAGTATGTATTGTTGGGAGTAGAGATCACAGAGATCTGAGAGACTGAATACAATGGAGTACCGGAAAATCAAAGATGAGGTGAGTCGTTGCTTCTGTCCACTTCTTCTTTCTTTCGATTTCAATTTAGGGTTTTTACTCTCTTTAATGCTCGATTTTGTTCTGAGCTTCAGGACGATCATGGCGTCTCTTCTGATATCGAGAGTGTGAAAGGGAAAACTCATACGGGTGAGTTTTTTTTTTTTTTTTTGTCTTCTTCTATCTTCTCTCAATCTTTACTTTTTTTTTTTGGTTTGTGTTCGTTTAGTGTGCTCATTGGTGTTTTGATTTGTCAGTTGCTTCGAGTAACATTGCTATGGCTACTCTTGGGGTTGGATCCAGTGAACGGATCAACTGGAAACGAAAGTAAGCTTGATTAATTTCAAAATAATATAATCCCGAAATTATGGAAATTCTTCTCTCGTTTTTAATTTAATGTGTTGAGGCAGGGGCGTAGTGACCTGTGCACTGACGGTTCTGACGAGTTCTCAAGCGATACTCATCGTGTGGTCCAAACGAGCCGGCAAGTATGAGTATAGTGTTACAACCGCCAACTTTTTGGTGAGTTTGATCATTTTATTACTCTGTATTGTGAAATTTTAGTTGTGTGGTTTATTATCTCTGAATCATAATAGTCTTCTATTAGGCTGAAATAGTGATTTTTGTTTACTCTTTGGTGGACATCAGGTTGAGACTCTGAAATGTGCGTTATCTCTCCTTGCATTGACAAGAATATGGAAAAACGAAGGTGTTACTGACGACAACAGGTAGGAACTGGTTCAATTAGTTTCCTTTATAATTCTTTGGTCGAACTGGTTCCATGTATCTCTTTGAACATGACTTTATTTCCTTACTGATACCCAAAACCTGTCTTTTAATCAGGTTAAGCACGACATATGACGAAGTTAAAGTCTTTCCTATTCCTGCAGCATTGTATCTTTTCAAGAATTTGTTACAGGTTCCTGATTTTTTGTGGCTTAGCTCGATCTTTGTAACCTATGTTGTTCATGTTAATATGTTTCTTACTACTTGTGGTGTCACCTTTTATGTGGCAGTACTATATTTTTGCATACGTAGACGCCCCAGGCTATCAGATATTGAAGAACTTGAACATCATAAGTACCGGTGTCTTGTACAGAATTATACTGAAGAAAAAGTAGGTTTTTACTCAAATTGAAATGGATTTCTTACCTTCTAATGAATATTTGTTCTGGAAATCCATATGCTATCCGTTTTCTAGTCCCATCAATTAAATTAAGTGTGAACAGCCTCTTTTTTAATCAATTTGCATACTATATCTTCTCTAACAGGTTGAGCGAGATTCAGTGGGCGGGATTCATTTTATTGTGTTGCGGATGCACTACTGCTCAGTTGAATTCAAAGTAAATGTGCCACTTGATTTTTGTACCCCTTGATTTTCTTCTGAATGCTAGCTTCACCGATTCTTGCATATGATGCATAACATAAGATAGTTCATTTCCTGTTCAGTTGGTCTTAGGCTTGCTCTGCGAACTTTCAGGTCTCTACTGATCTTATTTAAACATGGTCTCATATCTGAAATTGCTTTTGCAGTTCTGATCGTGTTCTTCAGACATCTCTACCTGGCTGGATTATGGCAATTGTAAGCTGTTAGCCACCTTTGCATGCTAATATCAACTCAGGGTTGTGAAGCTCTTTCATGCCCACACCAATTGATATAATCTTTTATTTTCGTTTCTAGGTCATGGCTCTTTTAAGTGGTTTTGCTGGAGTCTACACAGAGGTGGGATATTAGGACTCTTAAAATACTCAAACTGATTTGTTTATTTTCTTTGTGTATATGTTAACACTAATTAGTGTAATTTACTTTGTTATTCAAAACAGTATAATTGGGTCATTCCATTGATAACTTATGATTTATAAAGCTTATAAAGGTTTTGCTTTCCATCTTGGCAGGCCATTATAAAAAAACGACCTTCGAGGAATATAAATGTACAGAATTTCTGGCTATATGTCTTTGGGATGGCTTTCAACGCAATTGCTATAGTGATCCAGGATTTCGATGCTGTTGCAAATAAGTAAATCCAAATTCTTCTTGTCTATTTCCTTTCAGATTTGCTAGAAATTAGTACACGTGCGATTGTGTCTCCATTGAGAATTCCTCTCTCTTTATATACTTCTTCTCTCTTTATTTACTACTTCTCTATAGTCTTGTTGTTGTAGAGCTCATTATCTTTTACTGGCAGAGTTATTATACTGTTATGTCGCATCTGGTCTGGTATTGAATGTGTGATGTTTTCCATTTTCAGGGGATTCTTCCATGGTTACTCATTCATCACAGTACTCATGATTCTTAACCATGCTCTCAGGTAAAAGCTACTTTAGAGGCCAGACTCCTTAATTCTTACTGTAAGTTCAGGAAGTTAACAGATTAAAATATTATTTTATTGGTTATTTTGCAGTGGCATTGCTGTGTCAATGGTGATGAAATATGCAGATAATATTGTAAAGGTAGTGAATTTGCTAATGCATATTCAGTTCTCAGCAGGTTCCCCTTAATAGTCACTATTGCACATGTGGTTTAACTTTATCAATTGGTACGTAGGTTTATTCGACATCAGTGGCAATGCTTCTCACCGCGGTTGTCTCTGTATTCCTCTTCAATTTCCATCTTTCCCTTGCATTCTTCTTGGGCTCAACGTAAGTTAACCACCATATTTCCCTTTTACTGGTATAATCATCTCAATTTTTGATATCAAAAGTAGCCACCAACATTCATGCACATAAGAGCCAATGATTGCGTAAAAGGTTTCTTTAAAATGCATTACTGTGTTTGCACTTTGCAGGGTCGTCTCTGTTTCAGTATATTTGCATTCCGCAGGGAAGCTACGATAGTAAAGATCTGGAAACTTACATCTACCGAGGAAATTGCCATTATTCTAGTATAGAGATAAAGCTTTTGAACGACTACGATTTTGTTTTTCGTGTAGGTATATTCACAATTGTGCTTCTGTATTGATTTTTTTTCCTATTCTCACCTGTTTGTACGAAACCAAAAAATTATCAAGAATAGTAAAGATTCAGAAATTTAAGCCTATACATAACTTTGTTTTATAGATTCCCCCTCCACATAATTTAATAATCATTAACAGTCTGAAAGTGAAGCTGTTTTGTTGAAAATTTCACGCTTAGAACAAAAGGCTTAACCAAAAATGATCCAACCGTGAAGACTCAGAGACCGGCGTACTTGGTTTTAAAAAAAATTAATCATTGTCTTTGCTTCAAAGCCAATGCTAAGAGACTTTGTCTTCTCTCCCACTTGTATATAAGCTCTATTCCTCTACTCTCTTTCTCACCATCTCTTCTTCTTCTTCTTCCTCTTCTCTCAGTGGACAGATTCAGCTATGGCTTTCTCGGCACCATCACTTACAAAATTCTCTCTTTTGGTCGCCATTTCAGCATCAGCTCTCCTCTGTTCTGCTCTTGCCCGTGATTTCTCCATCGTTGGATACACACCGGAGCATTTGACATCAACTGAAAATCTTCTAGAGCTCTTTGAAGCATGGATGTCAGAACACAGCAAGGCTTACAAAAGCGTGGAGGAGAAGGTGCACAGGTTCGAGGTGTTCAGGGAGAACCTGATGCATATAGACCAGAGGAACAATGAGATCAGCAGTTACTGGCTAGGTTTGAACGAGTTTGCGGATTTGTCCCATGAAGAGTTCAAGGGAAAATATCTAGGACTCGCAAAGCCGCAGTTCTCTAGAAAGAGACAGCCCTCTGCTAACTTCAGGTACAGAGACATCAGTGACTTGCCTAAATCCGTAGACTGGAGGAAGAAAGGCGCTGTGACTCCTGTCAAGGACCAGGGTCAATGTGGTAACATTTCTCTCTTTTACCTTTCTTGGCCCCAAAGTTGAACAGAATAGAACCTAGAGATTGGAATAGGTATTTAAAAATGATCTTACTTTAATGTTGCAGGTAGCTGTTGGGCATTTTCAACAGTTGCAGCTGTCGAGGGGATCAACCAGATCACGACAGGGAACCTAAGTTCGCTTTCCGAGCAAGAACTCATAGACTGTGACACAACTTTCAACAGTGGGTGCAATGGAGGTCTCATGGACTATGCATTCCAGTACATAATTTCAACAGGTGGTCTCCACAAAGAAGACGATTACCCTTATCTCATGGAAGAAGGAATTTGCCAAGAGCAGAAAGTAACAAAACGCTAGACAAAAACATGAATCAAAACTCATACTGTGATACATATTAATTATAGACACTGATCATTCATGAATCTTACACAGGAGGATGTCGAACGTGTGACTATCAGCGGCTATGAGGATGTCCCAGAAAACGATGAAAGTCTAGTAAAAGCATTAGCTCATCAGCCAGTCAGTGTGGCTATTGAGGCTTCAGGAAGAGACTTTCAATTCTACAAAGGGGTATATATACATATAACAGACAGTTCTGATAGATAAACTTTTTTCTATGTATTCCAATCTTGT